AAAGCCAGCTGGACTGTGACTGAAACAGCATGGGATAAAACCGGACTCTCTGATCACAGCGAACAATGAGGACTGATGAGAAGCCAAGGTCAATGACAAGGGGTTTTGATCCTACTTCATGTTCTGGCTTGGTGGGAGCCTAGCCAGTTTGGACGTTCACCTTCCTAGATATGGACGTAGGGGGGAGGACCTTGGACTTTCCACAGGGCAGGGAACCATGACTGCTCTTTGGATAGGAGAGGGGGGGTGAGAGGAGTGGGGGGAGGGGGAGAAGAGAGGGAGGAGGGGGGGAAGGTTGGGGGGAGGGGGAGGGAAATGGGAGGCTGGGAGGAGGCGGAAACTTTTTTTTCTTATTCTCAATAAAAAAAATAGTATAAAAAAAATGACTCTTGATGATATTATGTGATACTCATAAATTGGTATCTTCTTCAGTCATCATCACAAAAATTTCTTCTCCTTACAACTGATGGGTACAAATGCTGAGACATTACTCAAAGAGTGAGAGATCTTGGCACACCACACTTCTAATTGGGATGCCTCCATCAATTCCCTCACCCTGGGGCTCAGGGAAGCCTATAGAAGTGGAGGCAGAGATAGTATAAAATCAACATGATCGATGCATATATAAATTCAGAGAGATTGAGGCAGCACGCGCAGGTTGTCGATGGGTCTGCACTAGATGAGGCCCGACAGATGAAAGCTGTGGACACATACACCTATCCCTAACACAGAAGCACGCTCTAATTGATAGTCAGTTGTCAATTAAAATGTAATTTCCCCCAGGGGAGTCTCATTGGAGCAACAAAATACTCTCTTGGTAGTCTGCATGTATGTATTAGATGAACAACACAACAGCATCTTTGGAGGGTCTTTTTCTCAGAATGTTGTGTCAAAACTTTTAGTTTTTATTTAACTTATTGGGTTTTTTAATTATTCTCCCTTTTAAAACTTACAGGCCCTTTGTGTATATATTATGACTTTCAATTTAGTGTCTCTCCGGGATTCCTGAGTGTACGAAAAAGTTGGTCTGCTTCTTGTGCCTTCTCTTAGGTACTTTTTCTTCATTTGCTTCTCCTGAGCAATTCTGATGTGTTAGTTTTTGTTTTATTTTATAAGGTACTATATTATATTATATTATTATCCTATAAAAGCCTGTTTGTCTTCTCTTATTTTTGCTTATGAGCCTAGCCTTTAGCTGTTCAGCCATCTTTCCAGCCTGCCTGTTTGACTTCTAATGAGAGAGAGAAAGGGGTGGGAGGTGAGGAAATGAGCAAATGGGAGAATTAAAGAGAGGTGAAACTATTATCAGGTATATTATGTGAGAAAAATTATTTTCAATAAAACAGGAGACATTCAGTATTTTAAAAATATTCTCATATAACTTACTAGATGAAATTTTAAAATCAAATGCTACCAAAATAGTAAAGCAAACACACACAATTAAGAGTAAATGTACTGTTTCAGAATGTTTGCTGTAATCAAGTAACTGCCTCCCTTTTAAATATAATGAGTTTTGTCCAAGTCTTGATTCACTAAAACTTGGGTGCCCCAAGTTTCTAATACATTCTCAATTTTACAGTCATGAAAATGTTGCACATTATTTTACATGTCATTTATCTACACTTGGTTACATGTATTATTTGCATATTATGTTCATAAACTAACTTTATGTGATGCAACACTTTTTGGTATAACATGTTCCAATTAGAAAAACAAATACAAACTCCATATACGAGTATGCAGAATATTTTGGAGTCCTAATATGCTTGTATTAAAGCCTTTGAGATGATACCCAACTTGCAACTATTCATCTGAAAAACTGTGGGTAGAAGACATGGACTGCCTAACTGTAATCCTGCAGGCTCGATCATGAACAATCTTGTTGTTAAGTAATGTTTCACTGCAAGATATTTATGTCAAAATGATATTTCATATGGTATGAAAGTATTTAGATTCAGGTAATTAATAAGCAATCTAAATTATACTGTGGCATTATCTTGTCATATTCTTAAAATTAATATTTCTCATTTGTAATTGAATCCAATGTTATTACCCTTAATCATTTTTTAGTAAATTAATATATTCCCAGTACCTTTTACAAGCAAGCACAACTAGAAGATGGCACGGAAATGTAACACATTTTCTTAGACGTTAATTATCTGCCAAGTCCAAGATCTTAATTCAGAGAGAATTTTGTAATTCAAATTTGGTTCACACGTGGAATAAAGGAAATATTGCAAATGTCTAACAAGATTAATCCCTGTTCTTGCTGCATCTCCCAAGTCACCTTCTCCTTTTTCTTCATTTTTATTTATTTATTTATTCATTTATTTATTTATTAAAGATTTCTGCCTCCTTCCCTTCACCGCCTCCCATATCCCTCCCCCTCCCCTAATCAAGTCCCCCTCCCTCATCAGCCTGAAGAGCAGTCCAGGTTCCCTGTCTTGTGGGAAGTCCAAGGACCTCGCACCTCCTTCCAGGTCTCTTAAAGTGAGCATGCAAACTGCCTAGGCTCCTACAAATTAATGTGTCAGGTATTTTCCTAGCCACCTTCTGTGGGGCTAATGTGTTTTCCAAAATTTACGTTTGAAACTTAATTCAAGACTCGACAAGGTTGGCAGATGGAAACTAATGGAAGTCACGCTGGCCATGCGGAGCCAGCCCTCAGAAAAATAGTATTTTCTGCCATGTGGAAATAGCTTTCCTCTTTCCAAGACATTCAAACACAAGCCGCCATTTTGCAACAGGAGACCGAACATGGTTGTCCCTTGGTCTTGAACTTCCCAGACTCCTGAATTATGAGAAGCAAATTTCTGTCTTTTATAAATTGTCCAGCCCAGCACTCTTGTATAACAGCTCAAACAGGCTAGGATAGCACTGAAGACAGAGGAAGAAAAATCTCTTTGAACTTAAATTCAGCAATGAAGGTCAGAAAACATAAAGTCCATACTATGTGTGGGGTTTACAAAACACCAAATGCTTTTATAATTAAATATCAACCAGGAGAATGACACATGGTTTAAAAAATGGTTTTCAGAGAAAGTTTCTGATGATGCAGATGTGAATGAAATGGCGAACAGACCCAAATGAATGTAAGATCTCATATCAGTACATAGTCTCCTAAAATATATATTAATATACTTAGCTAAAATCATATTTTACAATTTAAAAATATTAACATATATTGCACAGTGAAGATTAAATTTTTTCCTATCATTATTATTATTTGAAGGCACATTGTATCATGGTTATATGTGTGTTTATATCATGTAAATAAAGTAGATCTCAGTAATAACGTTTTTAAGACTAGATGTTGCAGCATTTACCTTCCCAGGAATACAAAAATAAGGTTTAGTTCTAGAAACCCTGGTCATCCAATTCCACTTTCATGGATGGAAAGCCTTTATGGAAGAGGTGGAAAACCATACCAGCAGAAATAATTGAAGTGTGGGCACAACGACGAAAATCCAGTAAATAAACAGCATGAGTTACTTACAACCATTTCATTTAGTGAAACCCAGCAGTCGGGTGGGAAATCCTGAAGCAGGGGAACCAGGAACTGAAGACAACCATCCCAATGACACAGGAGCAGCATCATGCCAATGAGGTTGAAGATTCTCACCACTGCACTAGCGAGGTCATAGGTCATGTGGAATATCTGTCACCAAAACATAAAGTCATACTTTAAAAAAAAATCCTATGTCAAACCAAGCATGCTAGCAACATCAGGACTGATGTGAGCACAATGCATGAAGTCAAGACATGAAAAACTGTGCGGAACAAGAAATAAAACAGTTTACTTTTGGAACCTTCTCAATAAAGCTGCTCATTTTGCTTTATGCTTATAATAACCAAGTGTAACTATTTTTACAAAATACATAAAAAAATACATACTTTACATAACTTTATTGTTGATGGTATATTTTATTTATTATCTCTGTGGACAAATTATCTTGTTTTTTTTTTAGCTAGCAAATTTGAGAAAGAGTGGGTATCTTTTACTCTGTTTCTAATTGTTTCTTAATGATTTGTTGAAGGTTAAAAAATGCTCGAAGAATTAAACATATAAGAAAGAACTGCATTAAATATTATGAGATAAGATTAAAAATGAGCCGCTGGGCAGTTCCAGGTTTCTTAGTATATATGCTTGAGGAATTCAAGCTGAGCTTGAGTAAGGATCTTAGAGAGAAAGGATAAGTGATATTGCCAAAAATGTGTAATATTTTTAAGCGTAATATTCCATAATGTAAAAATTATTTCCTAGTAACTGATACTATTTCAGCAAACACAAAATAGTGACAATTCAACAAAATACCAACAGAGAAAACATAAATCAAACTGGAATTTTTGATTGTTTGTTGTTTTCAGGTATTACACAAAGAAGAATCAGACCAGCTTTTTCCCTTCAGCAGATTAGCATTTGCCTCATCTGCAATGGCAGAATCTACCTGGGAGCAGACCCACATTCTAGGCTAAGATTCCAAACTCTAAAGTGAATGAATGCACTCAACAAAGATGAGTAAATACACACAAACATTGATATTTAAAATCACATACAATTCAAAAAAGTCTATAGGTTTCTGGGTTAATGGCATCCAACCTAATTGAGAAATTACCCAAGAAACAATTGCAGAATCCACAAAATTTATAAGCTTTCTTAAGTAACTCAGTATTTTAAGCAAAATCAATTTTAGGGTATGACTACTGATGCATATAAGATAAACTAGAGATTTTTATTTTTGCTTTCCCTGAATAAAATGTTTTCAAATTTGGTACACACTCTCCGCAAAAATTTCTTTTTTTTAATTTATTTATTTCTTTATTCTTTTGGCATAATTGTACTGAGCAAAATTTATCTCTGTAAAAGTATACAAACTGTTCCAAACACCTATAAAGTGGCAGGTAGTAAATCTTAACAATGTCACAGCATTTATTTTGATATTATGACACCATATACAAATCAACATGTCTTGCAGTACGAATGACAGTTCTTAACCTATAATCACACACAAGGCCCAGATTAAACTCAATGGTAACAAAATAAAAGTGATGAATATGGGAAAAAGATTCCTAGGGATGAAGGGTAACTGGAAGGGATGAGGGGGGGGGGAAGAAGTGCAGGCCCTGTGTCTGCTGCCAAAGTCACTGTTCATATGTGTATCGCTCCTGTTGTGTCTGAAGACACTGTTTCCTTGGAGTGATCCATCCCTGCTGGATTTTAAAATCTGCCTGCTTCATCTTTCGTATAGCTCCCTTAACCCTGATAGGAGTGAGTTGGATAAAGACATCCAGTTTAGGACTGAGAGTTACAAAGTCACTGAGTGCTTGCATGAGTTCTAGCTGCAGGTCTCCATGTTAGTTCCTATCTACTGCGAGAGGAAATCTCTGATGATGACTGAGCAAGGCATCTCTTTCCTTTCTTAGTCACTGAAATCTTAAAGAGAAACTATGCTACTAGCATGAATGTTACAGTGTGAACAATTGTTCTTTGCTTCTATTTAGTTTCTGCTCCACAGGACAGAATTCATGTCAGGTACTGGAAAACTGGCCATGAACCTGTGACTGGGGAGGTCATAGCTCTGAGAGGATAAACTATTACTAATATATTATTGAGTGCACATAGTATCAAACTACCTTCAAGTGTTTACCCTTACACCCATAATGATTATGGTTATCCACATCTGTGGCTTCTGCATCCACAAATGTGTGTGCGTGTGTGTGTGTGTGTGTGTGTGTGTGTGTGTATCCAGTACTGTTAGCTATCTAAGTGAGCAGAACAATTCTAATAACCATTCAAATTTCTGGAAGTAGTACCTGATAACTGGGCACCATTTAGGAAGAATGCTTCTGATAGTTCATATTTGATGTGGATTTATTTTAATATTATGTGGTATTATAGTTTAAAAGTTCTCATACCTTAATAGGGTAAATGAATCTATCTAAATTCTCATTTGAAAAATTCTTTAGGAATAAGGGAAAATGTTATCCATGAGAATCCGTGAGGTATTGGATGTGGGGATCTACCACACGAAATCCCTTGTTGCTTTTTGCCCTTGTACAAAACATTACAGAACTTCCATGAAATCTAGCCACTTTTGTTTCTACCTTACATCTATTCTCAATGACTTACGATGGCTAAGAAAACATAAATGTTACATAAATAATTGTTCAATTTTATCAAGGAAAAATGTTTAGACATGTTCAGTACAGGCATATTTTTTCTTCATACCAACTATTTTCCTTCTGTACTCAGCTACATTTGTGGACACAGAAGCCACAGATGTGGATAGCTGACTGTATCTTTTTAATATTCATGAGCACTATGTAAAGCCACAGACTATCTCTCCAATGCACCAGAAAATCAAAAAGAAAAAGAAAGGAAAGAACAGACATAATGCCATGTCTTTAATGTACTTAAGAAGGAAGCTTTCATGCTGGGAAAATCGATTTATAAGTGAATGTACTGACAAAAAGAACCTTTAATGGATTAGGACTAGAGAAAATGGAGTCAGATAAAGCAGTTAGCTAACTTGGAAACTAACACTACACCTTGCCTGTTGATTCCTTATATGCGACAAATACTGGCGAGGGAACAATAACACACGCAGGATCTTGGAATCTTATTTTAAGAGGTCTGTATGAAGACAATGTGATGCTTACCATACACAAATTCAGCATGAAATCAAAACTAGGATACTTTCAAGATGTAATCATTTTATGGAAGACTTTTGGAAAACAAAACTTGGAAGCTTGCAATGGAATAAACATTTAAAAAGTTTAAATGACAAAATGCACCATTCTCTTTTTATTTTCCAGTCCATGGTGGTAAAAAGCTTTAACCAGCTAGTGAGTGTGTGTGTTCATGTAGAAAATCAGTGAAAAGCACACTATTAACAACAGCAGTACTCACTTAACACTAAATAGAACTTCTAGATGTATTTCAAATAATATTTTGATAACAATTTCTTGCAGAGGAGTTAGAAAAATAATACATTTCAGACAGTCTCAATTTTTTTCCCTGTATACTCTCAAGTACTGTTTTGTCTGCTCCTATACATATTATATTTGTCATGTTAGATACTCTAATAAGAACATTTTGTTATCTCTGATTGTTAAACTATAAACAGCAACACAGTTCTGGTTTTGCTATTCATTAATTACCTTCACAATGGCATAGCATTGAAAGAGAAAATGACCTTATGGGGATACTTAAGAGATGTGAGTTATTGAGAAATTGTTAGGTTCTGAGTTAGCACTTTTATAAACAGATTAATATCTTTCTTGAAAATAAGTATGTGTTTTCTTGACTAGGATTAGGGGATCACAAAATTATACCTTGCAGTACTGGATTAATAATCAAAGACGGGGCCATTAGAGAGCAAGCAGTCCAGGTACCTTTCTTATTCTCTCTCTCCTAGCTCCTTCCACAAGTACAATAATCCCTTTTCTTCTGAGAAAGTGCCAGTTCCACATTCTTTAACCTATTTTTACAGTAAATTACCCAGATCCAAGTTCCCTGTCATAGAACAGAGGATAGATAAATGCAAGTTTATTTCACTTACAAACTTCTGTAATGGGGCTGAGAAGATAGCTTAGTGAATAAACCACTTGTCCTGCAAGCATGAGTACCAGAGGTACTTAGTCTTTCTCCAGCATGGTATGCCATATTTTGTTGATGATACTTATGGTAGACCCCCCTTTTCTATACAGAGTGTGGGAGTGTATGTGGGGTGGGGACAGAGGAGCTATATGGAAGAGGGACTGGAGAAGGGAAGGGAAACTATGCCAGAATATAAATAAATAGATTAGATAGATATATTAGATAGACAGACAGACTGATAGATAGATAGATATGTAGATGATAGACAGACAGACAGTGGCACACCTGCACGGCCTGGAACAAAAACCGAGCAAAGGATGTCAGGATTGAACATGCATATACACGTCTCAAGCTGCTGGTAGAAGAAGCCCTTTATTGAACAGCACCATGGAGGTTTTATGCCTAACACAGCCAGGTGGGCCAACAGGTGAAGACCTCATCACCTGATCCTCGGTCAAGGCCAGGGCGATGCGTGCTCAGGAAGCAGGGTTGGTAAAAAATTTTGACACAGCTCTCAGAAGCTCAAAACAAAAGCACGAGAAAAGGTCACTAGCAGGGAAGAGAAGTTGGAGGCCAGGACTCCAAACAGTCCCAACAAGATGGATGGATAGATAGTTAGATAGATAGATGATAGATAGATAGATAGATAGATAGATAGATAGATAGATAGGTAGATAGATAGATAGATAGATAGATAGATAGATAATATAACATAAGAAAATGAAATAATGAACAGAACAGGAAGCAATGGTGAACCAAGAACCACAAGTCATGTCAATTATATATGGGAACAATAATTCAGACAGAGACAAACTCAATTTCTCCAGAATCTGTAGACAACAAACATTTTGAGAGAGGGAGTTTCCCCAGTGAGAGTATATTTTATTTCTTTGAAAATAATTTTATTGTAAATGATGCTGACTATTGTCTGCTGATTTTGCTTCATGTGCCTGTATAGGATGAAGTCCAGTATAAGTTCTAGGCAAACTTATATATCATCAAATCGTAGCATTAATTAGAACCAGACTGAGAAGGATCAAAGGGCAATAGGGGAGAGC